ATTATCTCCTTTCTCATCAAAGGAAACACACAGGGGAAAAGCCCTATAAATGTACGGAGTGTGAAAAGTGCTTTGGTCAAAGCAGTTCCTTTATTTCCCATAAAAAGATCCACACAGGGGAAAAGCCGTTTAAATGCATGGACTGTGGAAAGGCCTTTCTTCAGAACCATTAACTTATTTCCCACAAAAGGATCCACACTGGGGAGAAGCCATATAAATGCAGAGTGTGTGAAAAATCCTTTGTTCAGAGCAGTCATCTTACTTCCCATAATAGGGTCCACACAGGAGAAAAGCCGCATCAGTGCGTCGAATGTGGAAAGAGTTTTAGCACAATTAACTCTCTTACTTGCCATAAAAGGATTCACATGGGGGAGAAACCCTTTAAATGCATGGAGTGTGGAAAGGGCTTCTCTGAAAATCGGTCCTTTGTGAGACATAAAAGAATTCCACACAGTGGAGAAGCTGTATAAATGTGTGAAGTGTGTTAAGAGCTCCAAGGGGAGAAATGGCCTAATTTTTCATATCCATTTGATGAGAATCCATGTAAATTCTAGATTTAATTGCTTGATTCTATGTATACTGAACTAGGAAAGAAAGATTTTACTGTCCCTCACAACTGACAGCTTCAGAGAGATGATTTTACCAATAGAAAAAAATGGTTCTGAGGTAAAAATTTCTGGAGCATTTTGCATCTGTTTTTTTTTCCCCCTCAGTATTTCTTTTTCTCCAGCATACAGGTAGTCCTCAATTTATGACCACAATTGGGCCCAATTGTTTATGTTACTGAGAAATTTGTGAGTTTTACCCCATTTTATGAGTTTTTTGCCACATTGGTTCAGTAAATCACTGCAGTCGTTAAATTATTCACATGGTTGTTAAGAGAATCTGGTTTCTTCAGAAGGCTGCAAGAAGGGATCATGTGGCCTCGGGACACTGCAAACCATCATAAATATGTTTTAAATAATGGGATTTTTAAGGTTCAACTGTCATTTTACAGGGTCGAGAATTGCACATGTCAGAAGATTGTTTTGTCTTGTTTACATTCTAGCTTCAATTGCATGTCAATTCCAAGAAAAATGAGCCCATATAGGCATTTCAAATTCTGGACTCTGAATTTATGAAGTTGTGTTTTTTTTTAAAAAAAAGTGAGCTTCTATTACCCAGTTATTTGTCCTTCCCACTTGATCTTTGTCAGGGGTCGGATTCTACCAGTTCCGACTGGTTCGGGCGAACCCTTTGCTCCGAAGATCAGTTGGCAGTGAACCGGTTCACTTCGACAAGCATGTAGGCCCACCCGCCCTGTGCTTTATTCCCTTTTGTGAGAGCACAGTTGATTCACATGGCAGAGTGGTTTGCTGTTTCTCAGCTGTGCCTATGTGCAGAGCGCACATTTGGCGCGATCTCCAAACTGGTTATAACTGGTGGAATCTCACTCCAGATCTTGGTTCTGCGATGGATATGAAGAGGCAAACATTTAACAGGTGATTCTTTCCCTGGTGGGAAAAGCAGCGGAATCTTTTTAAGACAAAGGTTTATCTTAGTCTTTCTTCCATTATGGCAAACAAGCAGATAGAAATTCAGTAACTTCCCATAGTATAAACCTTCCATCTTTTTACAATTGTTTTCCACTTCATTCTTGAATACACTCACATTTTATCTGTCCTCACAAAAAGAAATGGTGCAGCAGAGATATAGTGGGATCTGAAACAATATAATCCAAAGGGAACTCAAAGTGAAATTGAATTGTCCCACTGAGTATCTGATATGCATTAAAAGTGACAGTTAAAAGGGTATGTGCTTTGAATCCTTCCTTCCCTTCCCTTTCCTTCCCTTTCCCTTCCTTTCCTTCCTGTCTCAGGAATATTCAGGAGACTGAAGCCCACTCCAGTGTGCTGATACTGCAGATGATCAAGCAAGAAGGAAGACATTTAGAAATCAGTGGGGACCCAAACAAAAATCTATGAAATTAAGAAAAACTACTTCAGAAAAGTGCTTCAGTTCTTCCTGATCAAACACACAATGAGAATAGGAGCTTCTTGTGGGATGTGAAGATACCAAAAAATAATCCAACTCGGTTCCACTATAAAGAACTGAGACCTGAATCAACCAGTATGACTGCATAGGTCAAAGGCCTCTCATGATGCGAGAGAATAACATAGGTATCAATAGAGAATGAAGAAAGAACTTTAGGAGGAAGAGTTCCTCTGTCACAAAAGAAGCCAGAATGACGAGAACTCCCCAAAATTCATGTGCAAAAGATTTTTCAAGCATCAAGACCCCTTTTGGCTTTCTGTGCTGTGATGAGAGCTAAGAAAAAAAAATGTTTAAATAAAATTAAATATCAATGATGTGATTACTTTCTAGGCATGTATTAAAACCCCTTTTCTCTTTGGTTGCATCAAGAATTACTAATGCATGAAATTACTAATATTTGGAGGACTTTGGGTAGGGGACAAATTTTTGGGTTTCAGAGACTCTTGAGTTGAAGTAAATCTGGTCCGGATTTCAAGCTTCTGTCAGGATTCCGGCAGTTACTCCAATTAAATCATGAGTCTTGAGCCACACTCCCAAAACTTCAAAGGATTTATTAGAAGTCAACATGTTGGCATGACCTGGGCGTAGCCGACTCTGAGATACGTAATTCATTGTTACCCTTGAGCCTGCTTTTCACCACCACCCCTCTGGATGTATCAATTCATATTCTCCATATTTTCATAAAACATTTTCTGTACACATTTTATAGCTGTCAGCTACTTGAAAGGAAGAGGTTTATTTTTCAGAAATTCAAAGTCTCTTGAAGGCAGACTATAAAATAGGGAAAGCTCTAGTAACAATATATATAACATTCTAAATCAGTCTCTTAACTGTTTTTCTTTATTTTTAGCATTCTTATTGCCCTGGAAAAAAGAATTAATTAAATCAAGCAATGATTGAATTTCTTCCTTTATAATTAAGTTTATGTAGTGTAAATTACATTCTTTGTATTTGGTTGTGTGGTATTTTACAATTTAAAACAACACAATTCTTATGTTTGGGTGAGTTTAAAGGATTTGGAGGGCAGTAAATAACTTTCTGGAGATCTGGGTCAGTTAATTTATAATTACCTAAACACCCTAAACAATATTTCTAACAAGAATTATAAAATTTATAAATTCTTGCCATCAAGCTCTTTATTCATACAGTATAACAGATAACAGATAATCAGAGTTGGAAGGGACCTTGTAGGTCATCTAGTCCACCCCCCCACCCAAGCGGGAGACCCTACACTGTATCTCACAAATGGCAGTCCAATCTCTTCTTGAAAGTCTCAAGTGATGATGCTCCCACAACTTCCGAAGGCAACTTCTGTTCCATTGGTTGATGGTTCTCATTGTCAGAAAGTTTCTCCTTATTTCCAGGTTAAGTCTCTCCTTGTTCAGTTTCCATTTTTCCTTGTCTGGCCTACAGGACCTTTAGAAAATAGATTGACCCCTTCCTCCCTATGGCAGGAAATGTTTCCAGTTTTGTGTGCGTTATTGTCAAGTTTTTCATTAGAGAAATAGAAATCGGATTGACAATCATAAAAAAATTAAAAACAATTACAAGAAAGCTGGATACATAAAGAAATGGGCTGGAGAAAAATAAAACAGAACTCCACTCTTTTTAAATTGCTTTTTAACCACAATTCCTCTTCTATTTTAACTGCTAATTGTAGCTCGATCTCAGTCTCTTTTTTAAGCCCTCCATATGCAAAGGAATTTCTTCAAACCAGTGGTATCCCTCTCTCCTTCTCCCCCTCCCCCTCCCTCGGCTAGAACAAAATGTGTACTTTCCCAATCATTTTATCACCATTATTTTATAATAAAGAGGGTTAGGATCTGGCCCGAAGGATTGACCCGTGGAGCTTCTGCCAGCAAAAAGGGAGCTGGCAGAGGGCTACAGGAGGCTGTCGCAGCTGAAAACAGAACTTGGGAGAATTTTCCTCTGGCAGAGTACTCGGGCCACTGTTGAACTGGCCACACCCATTCCACAACCCCGCCCCCCAGGTCAAGCACAACCCTGATATGGGCCTCCATGAAACCGAGTTTCTGCCTTGTATCATCCTGGTCAAAGAGATGTCCAGTCTATTTTTGAAAACCTGCAGTGATGGAGCACCCACAATTCCAGGGAACAAGCTGTTTCATTGATTATTCTGTCAGGAAATTTCTCCTTCTAGGTCGGATTGTCTTTAACGAGCTTCCGCTCTTTACTTCTTGTCCTTCCCTCGGGGGCTCAGTCCCCTCTTCTCTGTGACAGCCCCTCAAATACTGGAGGGCAGTTATTCCACCCCATAATCCTTGTTGACAGGCTAGACATACCTAGCTCTCTCAACCATTCATCATACAATTTAGCTTCCAGACCAGTTGATCCATATTGCTATCTTGATGATTCCTTCTCACAGCAACTGCTTGATTCTTTGGAAGATGAGGTGCAACTTGGCCACCCTGCACTCTGTTCTGGATCAAAGAAAAACCTTTGAATATCCACGGTTGTAACAGTCGCCATCAATAAGTTAAAATGAGACCATACAATGCCCTAAAGAGCCCAACATCAAGCCAGGATCCTTGCTTCCTGCTCAGTAGTCTTTGAGATTAAATTAGAACTCCCAGATTTGGGATATTAAACTCTGGCACATTAACACAAGATACAAAATAAATAAATAAATCCTAAATTATTGCTGCCATCTAGAAATGACTTACATCTTTTATCCCAGATATAGCATTCTTCTTGAAATGTATTTGAATATAAGTAGCATTCTTCTTTTCAGACCCATTTCTATATCCTGAGTGTCACTGACTTAATTTTTCCTCTTTGCATTAATGTGCAGTGTAGCTTCATTTGTATAGAACAGGTGTGTCAAACTGGCGGCCCTTGGGCAAGGTGCATCACGCGCAGGCCACGCCCACCCCAGCTCCGTGAAGGGAAAAAACACTGCAATATGTCACATGATGGCAATGTGACATGGCGAGTTTGACATCTGTGGTATAGAACATCCAGGCAAACATTTTAGCAAAATGTTTATTACTATGACCACTGTGAGTAGCATACAGCATATATACCCAGTGCCTGTAAACTAAACAAAAGAAACCCTTTAATTCCAATAAAAGCACCAGAATATCAGTTACATTAAGAAACTGCCAAAGAAACATTAAAACATCTCAACCCTCTCTCATGAAGAAATAATCCTTTTGCAGTTGGAATCTGAAGTAACAACATAAATGAGTGTTCGTTGAAAAAGTCCATTCCATGTTAGGACTGAAATTCTCATGCATGATTTTCTTCTGTCCATCACATGATGGCTAGCGAAGGACTTAAATCAGAATCAGAACAGAGTTGGAAGGGACCTTGGAGGTCTTCTAGTCCAGCCCTCTCCTAGACTTTGACAACTGACACAAATGTCTCAGTATTTTAGGACAATATTCCTTCATATGAATTCTTTGCACTTAGTTCAAATTATCTCCCCGTTCCGCTTATATAGACTTTTTGGTGGACTCATAGATGAGAAATTTAACTCAAAACTCTTCCCCTGCTTCAGGCAGTTACTTCTTTTTCAAGTGGGTCCTTCTGTGTGAAGTAAGGTTACTGCTAGTTTTGAATGTCTTCCCACACACCTTGCATTTGTAGGGTTCCTCCCCTGTGTGGTTCCTGTTGTGATAACGAAGCGCACTCCTGCAGCGAAAACACTTTCCGCATTCCGTGCATTTAAATGGCTTTGCTATTAAGTGGATCCTTTTATGGGAGATTAGGTCACATCTCTGACTAAAACTTTTTCTACATTCTGTACATTTATGGGGTTTCTCTTTTGCATGGATCCTTATGTGGAAAGAAAGCTTGCTGCTCGTGATGAAGCTTTTCCCGCACTTGCCGCATTTATATGGCTTTTCCCCCGTGTGAGTTCTTTCATGGTAAGTCAGGCTGCTTTTCCATTTAAAACGTTTCCCACACGCCGTGCATTGATGTGGTTTATCTGTCCTGTGGACTCTTCTGTGAGAAGAAAGCTGAGCGACGTTTTTCCCACAGTCCAGGCATTTATACGGTTTTTCCCCCGTATGAATCCTTCTGTGGATAATGAGGTAACTATTTTGACTAAATTTCTTTCCGCACTCCGTACATTTAAATGGCTTTTCCCCAGTGTGAGTTCTGTGATGACAAGTAAGAGCAGCGCTGTTGTTAAAGCTCTTTCCGCACTCCATGCATTTATATGGTTTCTCCACTCTGTGCTTCTTTTCATGATGCACAAGCGATCCTGTTTCGGAGAAATTCATCCCGCACTCCATGCATTCAAACATTTTCTCTCCAGTATGGGTTCTTTTGTGGGATACAAGGGAGCTGCTTTTCTGGAATCCTTTCCCGCATTCCACACATGTGTATGGTTTCTCTCCCTTATGGCTCCTTTTATGAGAAATCAGGGAGGCCCTCTGACTGAAACTTACTCCACACAGCGTGCATTTGTGCTTTTTTTCGTTTGAGTGAATTCTTCTGTGCATATTAAGGGTGCTGCTTGTACTGAAGCTCTTTCTGCACTCCCTGCATTGATATGGTTTCTCTCCCGTGTGGATCCTTTTATGGGAAATCAGGGAATGTTTCCATCGGAAGCTTTTCCCACACACTGGGCATTTATATGGTTTCTCTTCTGTATGGATCCTTTTATGAGACCTAAGGGAACAATTCTGACTGAAGCTCTTTCCACACTCCAGGCATTTATATGGCTTCTCTCCCGTGTGGATCCTTTGATGGGAAGTAAGGTCACAGCGCCTCCGGAAAGTCTTACCGCATTCTGTGCATTCATAGGGCTTCTCCCCGCTGTGGATCCTTCTGTGATAATTAAGGTGACTACTCTGAGCAAAATTCTTTCCACATTCCATGCATTTATAAGGTTTTTCCCCATTGTGGATTCTTTTGTGAGAAGTAAGGTGGCTTTTTTGACCAAAGGTCTTCCCACACTCCAAACACTGGTATGGTTTCTCCCCTGCGTGCATCCTTTTGTGGGAAGTAAAATAACTGCTCCATTTGAAGAGTTTCCCACACTCCAGGCATTTATATGGCTTTTCCCCTGCTCTTCTTCTTGCAGCTAAAGAAACAGGTTTTCTGTTATGTTTTCCATTGTTCAGCACTTCACCACCTTCTCCTTTAGTATAAGTTCTGCGATTTTTATTCACAACTGTGTCTTTGAATACTTCCTTTCTTTTCCCTAATGTCTTTTCTTTTCTCCTTCCTTTCCAAGATTGTTGTTGAATCTGAATACGGTGGGGATTGAATTTTTTCCTCCCCTGTTTTTTTGACTTGTTTTTCTTCCTTTTTTTGACTGGTTTTTCTCTTTCTTTAAGTCTTTCTTCCTTTTTCTGATTGATCTCTTGAAATAGTTCCTTGCAACCTTCATTCTCCTGCTCATGAGCTCCTTGGGAAGAAAAGAGAGAAGAAAAATTGAATGAAGCTAATTGAATGAAGGGGAAAGAAAATGAATCAAATTAATGTAAATGAATTCTCCCCAAGGTTTTGTTGACTTACTAAAATAAGAAATAATTTAAAAAAAAAACCACTGATGCAACATTTATTCATTGTGGACACCTGATGGGATTATTACAATTTCAGGAATATAAAGATGAATGATCAATATGCAGATGTAGTTTCTGTTTACGGAACCCCTTCAAAAGTCAATTTCTGTTAAATAGCAAACCAATTCAAGTAAATCGTTTCTATTTTCTGTGGTACATAGGACAGGCAGGCAGCTTCTTGTCCTACACAAGAAGTCACTATTAAGGTTAGAGGTCAGATCGCTGAATCCATAATCTAAAACAGGGGTCTTCAAACTTGACAGCTTTAAGACTTGTGGACTTCAACTCCCAGAATTCCTCCTCCAGTCATGTTAGCTCAGGAATTCTGGGAATTGAAGCCTACAAGTCTTAAACTTGCCAAGTTTGAAGACCCTTGATCTAAAATGAATCACTGAGAAACTAAAAATATATATTTTTGAAGGGGAACACCTGAAGAAAGAGATACCAAGTAACAGCATGATGGATTTAAGGAAGTAGCTGCAAATTTCTTCCCTTGTTTGGAGCAGAAGAAGATAGGATTAACTCCTTCTTGTATATAGGAGATGAGACCTGGTTGGGGAGAAATGTTTTGACTGAATTTGACTACCTTCTAAATGTTTGCAGGCCAAGCAGGCAACTCTTACCCAAAGAGGCCACATTCTGAGAATTCTCCAGCATGACTTCCTCGTGGAGGGCTTTTTGGTGGGCATCCATCTGACACCACTCGTCCTCAGAAAAATACACCGCCACCTCCTCGAAGGACACAAGGCCCTGAACAAGGAAACAAATTTCCCTATTAACAGACAACGATGGATTTAGAAGTTCAAAAATCACATAAGGGGCAATGAGTGAATGATAAGGATGTAAAGCTTTATATAGGAAAATGGGCCATGTTCACAGGTTTTCACTGAAGGTACGGTTGGAACAAGTTTAATTTACATGGCAGAATTTTCCATTCAGTAAAAGTTAACTTCTGAATCTATTGGCAGTTAGACCTCAACACACACAGCTGTAATGGGGGGGGGGGGGGGTTTCCTTCCTAACATGTTGGCTAGTACGAATGAAGGCGAATATATGTGTCCCGGGGTAATGTTGCAGATGTTTTGTCTTCCGAGCTTTAGGACTTGTGCTGCAGCCCATTCTCAGGGAATTTTACCAGAATGTTCTACGAGAAAGAAGTTCACCAAGGATGGGCTCCAGCACAAGTCCGAAGCTCAGGAGACAAAAGTTCTGATTCTGATGACCGACCCAGATTGGATGTTAGCTAATGTCCAATGTATCCCTACAACTGATGGAACAGCATCACAAATGTGCTGGAGAATTTATATTAGGATCTGCGTGAAGGCCATTAACCTGAGAATGAGCAATTTCTGCTCTTCAGATTATAGGGAATGTTTTTGTGGTGTGAACTTCCAAGCCCACGATTCTTCTGATTAACTTCAGTGGATCCTTTCTGAAAGTCTCATAAAATATTTCTATTCCATTTACTATGTAACCTACCTCCTAAAGAACTATTAAATTGCAGATTCTACTTTACACTGTTCTTCAAACCAGAGGCTTTTTTCCCCCTCCTCAGACTAGATTTCAAATGATGCCTTATTTTCAAATGTAAATGTTATTTATTGGTTTGGAAATGTAATGTATGTTTTGTTCAATTCTGAACTGAAGAAGCTCCTTGGATGAGAAGCGAAATGTTTTCAAGGGGAAAAAAAAACCCAAGTAAGCCCAGTTGCCCTTTGGAAAAGTACCTTTGGAATATGGTTTCCTGCATCTTCTGAGATTTGTTCTGCTACCTGAGCTGGAGCTTCAACCACGCCTTCAGTTTCACCAGAACAAGATGGCTGTACGAATACAAATGAGATGCCTCTGTTCCCTGTGAAGGAGACAATGGTGATAAAAGAATAATTTTTAAGAACCTAACAAATATGGAAAGGTAATTCTATCCATGGGGAGCCAGAACATTCACTGTGTCAGCATGCCAACTAACCAACTCCAAACCAAGAGACTCCGAAACATGAATTTCCTCAAAGTTCCATTTTATTAGAGTTGTCCTATTGGCACATCTGGGAAAACCCAAATCTGTGAGTTCCGGGTTTTCCCTTCCCAAAATAAAATCAAAGATCCATCCCCTGCACCCATCACATGGCCCAATCAAATCATTCATCCCAACTGGAGACATCCCTCCTGTCACTCCTCTCCAGGTGCAGGGAAATATGTCCTTGACTCTCTAAGAAAGAATGTTGTTATGTTTAAACCTCTACCTCACTATGAGATCCTCCCTCCCAAATTCCCAGGGCACTGAATGTGGCAGCCTCGAAGCTTCCATGTAAAATTGGCTTCCAAGGCTGCTTAGAAGGACCTTTCTCTTACCTCCTGAGGCGTCCTGATAGGGATCTTTTTTGGAGAATTGCTCGAAAAGCAGCTCCTCAGAGGGATCTTCTATCTCCAGATCTTCAGGAACGACAGCTGAGGGGGACTCCTGCTGCTGAAACCGAAGGAAGGAGAAAAGAAAATAGAAGAAAGGAAAAAAGGATGAATGGACCAACAGAGATGAAGTAATGGATATTTCTCAATCCACAGTCCTGCAGTCCCTTATATCCATCAGTGGAAGTGGAAACTAAGAAGGGAACGATGTCAGCGCTCTAGCAATCCTCCATTCCAATCAGTAACTCCGAGACAAACATATCTCAAAAGTACCTTTATTAGAATAGCACCTGGCACATCTGTGGAACCCCCAATCTAAAAGTTTTCGGGCTTTCCAAATTTTCCCTAACTACAAATCCATTCCCCCTTGGTCATCATCAGATCACATGGTCCAATCATGATCCGTCCAAAAGTAAGATCCTTATTTCATCCTGAGCCATACTAAATGACCTTGAACTAACAGAAAGAATTTTATTTTGTCTTACTTAGAGCTGCTTAATTGAAATCACTCCCCTTTCACTTTCTCAGGCTATGTGGCAGCATGGAATATGGCTTCCAAAGCTGGCAAACACTTTCCCCAAATGGAAAGGACTGAAATCTGCCACAAGAGTTTATTTATTTATTACATTTTTAAAAATTACCCATCAACTGAAGTTTTTGTGGCAGTTTACAGTAGAAGAAAGGTGTTCTTAATGTTGAAATGCCAGAAATCCCCATGCCATGGCTGAGTTGCTACGCAAATTGCTCGCAACCATACAACAATGGGAGGGGGAGGGAAGCATTGGAATGCAAGTGTGTCATCTGGAAGCCGGAGATAGTTCCACCCCCAAGGTCACCAACTCTGAGAATGTCCGAGGCAAACAGATTGTTCTCAAAACAACCCAGGTTCAGCTGATTGGTGGGCAAAGGACCATGTGACTCCAGAGTGACAATAAAGTTCTTCTAAGTCTATGGTAGGACCAGGGAAGAAAAAGGGGAATTTATCTGACGCTTTTGCGCACGAAATGTTAGAACTGGCTTTTCCACTTCTGTACCCACTTCCGGTTTTTCAGCAGAGTATACGCTTGGAGGGAAAAAAAATGTCCCAGGAGTTTCTTTTTTGGGCTACCATACTGGGATGGTTGACACCCTATGATTGAAACCTAGAAAACTGATGGCAGAAAAAGACCTACTGTAACATGGAGTCTGCCCTATTTATTAAATTTATATATTTTTTTGTCAGATGACAGACATGCGCTTATCTCATTCCCAAGCATGTTTAATATGGAAACTGATTCCTCAGCATGTTCAACCATGGAAACAGATCAAGGAGAGATTCAACCTAGAAATAAGGAGGAATTTTCTGACAGAACAATCAACTCATGGAACAGAAGTTGCCTTCGCAAGTTGTGGGAGCTTCATCACTGGAGGCTTTCAAGAAGAGACTGGACTGCCATCTGTCAGAAAAGGTGTAGGGTCTCCTGCTTGGGCGGGGGGTGGGGTTGGACTAGATGACTACAAGATCCCTTCCAACTCTGTTAATCTGTTAAACCAGGGGTCCCCAACCACCGGGCCACGGTCCCAGTCCCGTGGAACATTTCCTACCAGGCCACCGGTTTGCTGGGCACCGCCATCTTCTTTGACGAGAAAGTATTTCCGGGTGAGCTTTTCTGGTTGGAAAGCGGCGTTTGCATCCTGAAGGAATCCTCACGCCTTAGTTTCATCGAAGCGGGGGGGCTTCGAACGAAACTAAGGCGCGAGGATTCTTTCAGCACCCAAGGCAAGGCGAGCCGAGCGACCGTCCCGAAGCGAAGCCCATCGACAAAGGTACAAAGGAGGAGTTGAAGGTGGCGGGGAGAAGCGGGGGACAGCTGGCTGGCTGGTTGCTTGGCTCGCCTTGCCTTGTCATGCGTGCTGATGCCGGTACCGGGCCGCGGATCATTTTGTGATGCCGATACCGGGCCGCGGATCATTTTGTGATGCCGATACCGGGCCGTGGCACAAAAAAGGTTGGGGGCCACTATGTTAAACTATAGTATTAAATGAACTATAGTATTACGGTATATATTGTTTCTTCTATTTGGGACCGTTCTAAGACCTAAGAAGGTATCTACCTGCAGATTTTCCTGTTGCTTCCCTTTGGCCTGGCTCATGAGGAAGCCTTCAGCCAGGGCCACTGCCTGGGAGCTGGTCTCTGCTCCACACTCCCGCACCCAGCTTTTCATTTCGGGGGGCAGGAGGGTCAGAAAATACTTTAGGACCACGAGGTCCAGCATCTGTGCCTTTGTGTTCCTTTCTGGCTGCAGCCATTTGTGGTAAAGTTGGTGGAATCGGTTGCGAAGTCCTCGGGGTCCCTCAGCCTCCAGGTATTGGAAGCTCCTGAAGTCCCAGGACTGAACTCCTGAACGGAGGATGGTTTCCTCCTCCAGGACCTTCTGCCTAGCGCTTGCCCAGATCTCCTCACAGCTCCCAAGCTGAACAGCAGAAGGACCTTTTCCAGTTGCCTCAGTTGCTAAAGGGGGCCTCTCCATCTTCCTCTGCTCTCCAACACAGCTTTAAATGGGGCCGCGGATCTTTTCACGCTCCTTGTTTGCGAGATATTTTTGTGTCTAGGCAAGGAGGCAAGATGCTTCCGCCCTATAGATCTGCAACAGAAAAGCAGAGAGAACGTAACAAGTAACATTTTAACAACTCCCTGCAAAATGTCGAACTAAGGATTCTTTTGAGCTGGCAAAGGGACTGCATAATTTGGCAGTTCGAATCTCACGAGGCTCAAAATTGATTCAGCCTTCCACCCTTCTTAAGGTGGGTAAAATGAGGACCCAGAGTGTTGGGGGCAACATGCTGACTCTGTAAACTGCTTAGAGAGGGCTATAAAGCACCATGAAGCGGTGTGTCAGTCTAAGTGCTATTGCTATTAGGAAGATGTATGTGAGTTCATCTCTTGATGTTTTTATCTGCTGTGTTTGTTATGATGGATGATTTTAATATTTTTCTCAATGTTTTTATGTCGTAAAGGCTACTGGATAGGAGATGGGCAGAAAATGAATTCCATAAATAAATTAAATAAATAGCAATAGCATATGAGGACAATAAACCAGTGGAACAGCCTACCTTCAGAAATTGCGGGTGCTCCATCACTGGATGTTTTAAAGAAGAGACTGGACAGTCACTTACCTGAACTGGTATAGGTTCTCCTGCATGAGGCAAGGACTGGACTACATGACCTCCAAGGTCCCTTCCAGCTCTCTCCCCTCCCCTCCTCTCTATTCTAGTCACTATTCTATTCTTGTTTCTATTCTCTTTCCTAGATTCTATTCTATTCTTATCCTATATTCTATTCTCTTTTCTATTCTATTCTCTAGTCTCCTTTCTAGTGTCTAGTTTCTATTCTATTATTACCCTATCTTCTATTCTATTCTATTTCTATTCTATTCCTATATTTTATTTTCTATTCTATTCTAGTTTCTATTCTATTTCTGTTCCTATCGTATATTCTCTTTTCTAGATTCTACTCTATTCCTATCTATATTCCATTCTCTTTTCTAGTCTGTTCTCTAGTCTCTTTTCTAGTTTCTAGTCTATTCCTACGTTGTATTCTCTTTTCTAGTCTATTCTTTAGTCTTTTTTTCTAGTTTCTATTCTCTCTTCTAGTTTCTATTCTATTCCTGTCCTATTTTTTTCTATTCTCTAGTCTCTTTTCCGTTCTCTAGTTTTCCTATCCTCTATTCCATTTCTATTCTATTCCTATCCTATATTCTGTTCTCTTTT